CTTGCTTTTCACTTTTCTTTCTTACATTGTCTTTTAGTTTCTGCAGCTCTCAAAACTCTGTTATTTGTATATCTGATATTTTTAATATTGTTTGCGCCTATATTAAATAAGGATTGGACTTTAAATCTCCCAGGATCGCCTTGATGTAAAGCATGGATAAGTCTGGTGAGAAGACATTACCTTGTCTTACACCCCTTTTTATTTTTATGTATTTACATTATTATTCCAGCAGGCGTTTTGCTCCCCGTATTATTTCTGGATTGTTATATCATATTTTCCAAATAAATAAAGTTTACCTAATAGTTCAAATAGAACTGTGAACCATACCTTATCAACTATTTATAAATATAAATCACTAACCTTGTTTTTTTTGTTGGCTAAGGTAGTTGTGTGTTAACCTTTTAAGCCCCAAAATAATTCAGAATTTCAAATACTTAATTTGAACACAAAAGGACAACCTTCCCTTTTGGAAGACTGGCGCAACACAGTCGTTCTTTATCATAGCCTGATGCTTAAATCCATACATCAGTCACTAGCCTACCATCGTAAATTTGCTTCTCAGTGCCTTTTCTATAAATACTTTCATGGCAACTGTTCGAATGAAATCTTTGCCATGGTACGAAGACATTATGAATTTAAGCTCAATAATAGACTGACGACGAGGTCTCATTAATTTACAGTTTAATTAGATGTAACCGTAAGTTCTATGCTAACAGTTTTTCTTGCACTTCTCACCTGCGGAACTCTCTTCCGACTATAAGATTTCTAGTCAACTTTAATCTTCAACAATTGAAATGCAATGTCAGTCGCTATCTACTGATGACTCTTCTTTTGTTCTCTTTCCTTAATAATATATCTGATTTCTATTTCTTCCACACCCAGTAATCCATTATATCTTAGCTTTAAGGACTTGCTTGGAATGAACTCAATAAAAAAAATCTATATGCTTGTTAGGTAGGTAGGTAGGTAGGTAGGTAAGTAGGTACTTAATGCTTTAAAGACCATCATTATGATAGATAGATTTTCACTGAATTATTTACCTGACCTACCTATTTAATTTTTATTATATTTTACAGATATATATATATATATATATATATATATATATATATATATATATATATATATAGAGAGAGAGAGAGAGAGAATTTTTGAATTTGTAGGTCTGATGATTTGGATCGTGATTACGATTCCAATGTAATAAATTATAACCATGGAATATTAGTGTTTGAGCGTTTTATATGATATTCTTACTCTGTCCTGGACATTGAGTTCTACCTGGAGTCTATCCTCTTGGGAATATATATATGTATGTATGTATTGTGTATATTTATACCAACAGCTTCCCTTACTTAATACTTGTCGTTTTCACTCTCGCGTTTCTCTTAGTTTGTTTTTGTTGCATGAAAAATTACAATCATTATTGTTTCGCCCGTGTGTTGTTTGAAATATTGAAAAGTAATTGTCATCTTTGATAATGCCTCATGTAAGCGAAAAGCTTCGATTGGATTTAAACATGTATCAATATGGTGATTTCCTTTCGTCTTTCAATGATAATGTCAAGCTTATCGGACAATATGAAAGGAACTTACTTAACATAAATAGACAAAACTTGTCTAAATTTTTTAATGAAACATGCATTAATATATATATATATCTTTCATTTTAATGTTTTCTTTCGAGTTAAAATGCAAGGCAAATAGTGGTGACTTTTGTAGTTGAACACTGTCTCTATCCAAAAGTGATATCATGATGATATAGTTCGCCTAATAATAAACAGTAGTCATTACTTTAAGACTGTCCCCGCGCGCGTGTGTGTGTGTGCATGCGTTTATATATGTTTGCCTAAAAGTAGATACTTATATACGAGGTTAAACGTATTAAGTATGACCAATACAATTTTACTTGCACACATTCGTCCATATTGTATGTTTGATTAAAAGTAAAGAGTGAACATATTATATGATGGACCATGAGTAGTTTCACCTAACACCACGAATTGCTACAAAACCAAAACATTAACGCAAGAATACTTGAATTATTTAGTGTTATCCTCATCTTCATTGCCATATTTACAACATTTCGGCAGTTGTACGCTGCGGCATTCTTCAAGTGATTGGAATTTCAAACCGAAGCCTTTATTTCGTCCACTGATTGTTCCAGTTCCACGTACCATGCCTCTTCCAGATGTCTCAGATATTTCTGTTTAACTCAACTCTTCAAGTTTTTGTTCACGAAATTTTATGAATATGGCAATGAAGATGAGGATAATAGTCCAAATAATGTAAATTATTTAAGTAATCATAATACCTCATCACAGGGATATAGAGGCCGAAATGATGAGGATATTGCAAGGTAAATTGAGGTAAAAATAAGAACTAATACGGCAGAAATTTATGGAAACAAGGATCATTTCATTCATAACGGATTCGGAGGTTTTTGTATATTATTTGAATTGTTTGCGATGATGGATTTCTCGCCAATTAAATCATTAATCTTTGCTTTTTGTTTTGTGTGAATAATTCATGAATATATATATATATATATATATATATATATATATATATATATATATATATTTTCGAAATTAGGAGGTCAATTGAATCCGCTACCTTGGTTTCAACTCTTCGTTACCCTCTGGCGATTTTTATCAAATGACCACTTAACGCATTATTTTATTTTTTTTAATAATAATAATGAACTCTATATTATTTAAAAAAATAAATAAATAAACAAACATGTCATACAAAGAAGAAGAAGAAGAAGAATCATTGGTGGGAGAGTAATAGAAATGTACATATTGTTGTTTTTTTTTCCAGCCTCATATGTGCTTAAGAGGAATTTCCTAATATGTAAGCAATAACTCAAGCTATAGACATTATTTTATTTTTTCACACGTATATTGACCACTTTTAATACTACTTTTTCCTGATCTGATTCAATTATAACCATTATCATTTTATGTATTATATATATATATATATATATACACACACACGTGTCTGTGCTTCTGATGATTTATATATGCAGCTAAATTTAAGGTTAACCTTTTACTTATTTAGTACAATAATTCGAGTACATATCGACCATTAGATGACAAACAAGAAAATTACAATTATAACCATAAAACAAATATTTAGACTATATACATACATACATACATATATATAATTTACAGAGAGAGAGAGAAATGGGGTTTTCTAAAAAAAAACTATTTCAGCTCTATAATCATAAAGCTTGTCCTTTCCAATGCGAATATAACTCCACACTTTAACTCTCTACCTGGAGTGGCTTTTGGGCCTTGAATTTTCTGAACATAAATTCTCCCAAGCAAGGCGATAATGCCACTCTAGACGCAAAAGGATATTGAGAATGAAAATACTTTAGAAAGAACAGGAAACTTAATCCCACACACACACACACACACACACACACACACACACACACACACACTCATATGAATGTGAAGTTTATATTTAATATCATAAAGAAACAATTTATACAAAGAATTAAATAGCAATCTTAATGCGATTAATGGCAAAATCACTTTGCTAAGAGGACTTAATGAGACATAAACTTACTATCAAATATTAACTTACTATTAATTCCTTGTGTAATAAGAACCTTATATTAGGATGGTTGTCAGTGTTCAATGAAAACTGCTCCCTGAAGATGACAATTTGAAATTGTCGAAAGTACTTGGTATGTGACTTCCATCTGACAACCCCTCAAACATGAAGGATCTTATCATTCAAGGAATTGATAGTAAGTTAAAGAGACATAGACATAAAGGCCGGGGGTAACAACGGCCGAAATGTAGTGAATATGGCAATGAAGATGAGGATAACAGTCCGAATAATGTAGATAATACAAGTAATCATAATACCACATCTCAGAGATATAGAAAGATATATAGAGAGACATAAACATAAAGGCCGGAACGTACAACGGCCGAAACCTTGCGAATATGGCAATGAAGATGAGGATAAAAGTGCGAGTAATGTAAATAATGCAAGTAATCATAATACCTCATCTCAGAGATATAGACAGATAAATAGAGAGACATAGACATAAAGGCCGGAGAGTACAACGGCCGAAACGTTGTGAATATGAGATGAGGATAACAGTCCGAATAATGTAAATAATGTAACTAAGTTTTGGAGAGGATGCAAACAAGGAGGAAGCATATACATCAGGAGGAGGCAGCTGAGGTTTCTGGGACACGTAATGAGAGTCTGGAGAATGTGATACTCACATGTCGAATAGAGGGAAAGGGAGACAAGGAAAAGCAATGCATGACATACCTGGCGGGCTTGAGCAAGTGGCTGACAGAGCGTAGTCTGGGAGAGGTGGAAGAGGAGCGAAATATATTGCTACAAGGGATAGAAGGAAGTGGATAGCCATGATCATCCTACGTCTTGAAGGAACACTGCACATAAAAACACCTGTTGTTAACCCCAGTGTCTACCTTTATATTTACATCCCCACTATCTTTGATAACGAGCTCTTTTACGCATAAATATAGTATACTTTAAAACTATATTTTTATCACATTATATATATATGTGTGTTTGTGTGTGTGTGTGACTAACTTTTGTAACCAAATAGATTTGTAACACAATGCATAGAATAACACAGAATTGCAAATTCGAGGTCATATCTCGGGTCACATGAACTGAGTGGGGAATTCTGACAGTGATGAATTGTCTTTGTTTCAGTTTGGATATAAAACCAAAACCAAAAAGATGCGAAGAGGCTGAGACGGCAGTAAGAATGAGAACGGTCAAAATAAGAGGGTTACAACCAAATTCGTTAATGAGGCACGCCGACATGTGAACGATGAGATTTTGACTAATCGGCTGAAGTGCGTCTTCTCGATCATCATCTCCACCCTGTCGCTTCTTTCTAGAAACGATGCTACGATTAATGGGCCTGATTAAATAAAGCGATTAAAATGGAAAATTGTCTGTCATTGGCGTCTGAAGAACTGAAGTCAAAGAATGCCCCGAAATACAACGGAATGTCACGAAACGCCACGGAATACTACGAAACGTCAAGTCATGCCACGAAACACAACGGAATGCCACGAAGCACCACGAAATGCCACGAAACACTACGGAATGCCACGAATCACCACGAAATGCCACGAAGCACCACAGAATGCCACGAAACACTACGGAATGCCACGTACTGCCACGGAAAGCCAGGAAACGCCACGAATGCCACGAAACACCACAGAACGCCACGAAACGCCTCGGAATGCCATGAAACGCCAGGAAACAACAATTTGTTTAATATTCAGGCTGTAAAGAATATAAACAAGAATAATACAAAATTTTTCTATATTTTCTGTCCCATTTTTTCATTTGCGTGTCGTGTCCCTACAACATCATGGTTCTCCACAACTTCCTGCCTCTTGTAGATCTTAGTGATGTTTCTCTTTTTGCTATCTCTTCTAATCCCTAAGCTTAGGTAGGTTATTTGCGACTTTCCTCTGTCCCTCTTCCTTTCAACTTATCTTGTGATTGTTAACTTTTCCAAACGCTCTTTCCTTTTGTGCCCTAGAAATTTCAATTGGCCATTTCTGATTTTAAGTAAGCCTACCATTTTGTTTCCATTTTTTACTAAAACCATAGTCGTTGCTCATATGTTCAGACAATAGTATTCAGAACATCCTTCTACAGAAAATTCTCTTCTTCATCTGTCCGATATTACATAACAGTCCAGTACTCTTTTCTTTGTTGCTAACTAAATTTCCCTGTTTCTTAAAGATTTGCTTAACTTTTGGAAGGCATCTTTCGCCATCCCAATGAACCGTCTGATTTCGGTATCACATCTTCCGTCCTCTGTTAAAATACTTCACAAATATTTAGATTATTTGTACTTGCAAATTCCTGAAATGATACCCCCATCTTAATTGCATATGTAAACTAATACGAGAGTTTTGAAAAGTTATCAACCTGACCAATATTCCGAAATATTTAGCTTAAAGCTTTTTGGTTGGGCCGTGAAATTACATCTCCGTATAAAGCAATTAAAGTATTCAACAAAATTTTTAATTTCATGAAACGTTTACTTTTGAGAATATTACTCTCTAGTTAAGATGTTTGGATTAATTGAACATTTAATTAAAATGTTCATTTTCTAGCAATTTAATCAAAATAATCATTTTCTAGCAATTTAAATAAAATAATCATTCTCTAGCAATTCAAGCACACGTTTTCACACAAAAATTCTTTGCAAATATTTTGTCTTTCGGAAAATATGTGCTTCTGAATTTTGGGGAAACGTGTGATTCAAAACTACGAGATACATATTTCAGTTTTACTATCTGGGTAAAAATAGCAAAATCTATACTTTCCTAATGTCAGAATCCGCTTGCATATTTCAAAAATACTCTTGGTTACATATGTACCATATTGCTGTGTATATATTTTTATACACAGAGTGAAAACAAAAATGATCAATATTGAACAAAAAGTAGAAATACTTTAAATCGAATTTATAATAAATTTGAAGAGATATATGCAAGAGGAAAAAAGTAGTTGAACCAAAACAAAACTTGAAAAACATTCGTAAAAAAAAAAACCTTTATTTTTTTTCTGTCCGCTTTTGTAATATGTTTATCCAATTTTAATGGCGGTACTGAATAAATTCATAGCGTTCTTCCTTAAATCGTGAACTTTAGGGGATCTGGATGATTACGGTTCTCCATGGTCGATATTTTTATATTTAATATTTGTAAATTGCATTGGCATGACTGTTCTTTGGAAACATATAGGAGCGTTTGTCCTGATGACTTATCTGTGGTTTTCAATTCGAATAATCTTTCTCCTAGACTTAGTTGAATAGAAACCCTCAAGTCCTCCTACTTACCCTTTAGCTGATATTGGGAAGTAAAGATAAATCCATGCCTTTCCCTAATGCATTAGTGCAACTGGAATTTAATCAGAACTTGTCGATTTGACTCTGCATGCTATTAAAATTTAATACATTCACAGAGAGAATTGCATTAAGAAATAAACACATGCTAATTATAGCGATTCACAGGTGAATATATATATATATATATATATATATATATATATATATATATATATATATATATATATATATAGTAAAATTAAAATTACCTGGATTGAATAAGACTGACAAATCCCGTCGGTTGAAATAAGCCTATTCCCTATCTAAGGTAATTTTAGATTTTATTGTATCCAAATCATTTGTTCTGTAATAATAAATACATTGAGATCTATTTGTGGTTCAGTTTTAATATTTTTATATTGTTAGATCCACTTGCATTATATACCAACGGATTTATTACCTTTAATATATATATATATATATATATATATATATATATATATATATATATATATATAATATGTGTGTGTGAAGAAATGTAGTTTTATGGTGTGCTATATTTATGGGATAAAGTGCTCAATATCAGAGACAGAGCGTATGTAAATATAAATATAAAAGTGAACATTGAAGTCAACACTCAGAGGCGACAGGCTGTTTCTCAAAGACACATGAGACAGTGTATAAATTAGTTAGATCCAGTGACAGGACCCAAAGAGTGTAAGTTAATACCTGTATAAGGCGGTGGAGAACTTAGAGAGAGGAATTAACAGGAGATAACTGATATCTGACATCCATTAAACATGACTCGTGGAACTAGAACAGTCTACCCCAGTGAGCGAAATAAAGTGTTCAGTTCGCCATTCCAACCACCTGAAGAAGGCCGGAGCGTACAACGGCCTAAACGTTGTAAAAATATGGCGATAAAGGTGACGGCAATAATCCGAATAATGTACATAATACCTCATCTCAGAAATATAGACAGATACTGAAGTTTGGATAATGTAACTACTCTAGGTGCAGAAAGTGGCATCGACGAATCGAATTCAAATGCCGGTTTATTCAGTTTCATTCACTTTCACACTAATGCACTTGGGAAAGGCAGGAATACATTTTATCACCTTCCAGTAGATTAGGCTCCGAAGTCTTGAGTAGCAATCATCGCAAAGAAGGAAAACACTGAACTCTAAACAGTGGGAAGGCAACATTAAAGCACTCCAGTATAATTCACGCGAAGTTAAGATAATGTACAGTTAATAAAGCTCGTTGGAAATTAAAACAAAAACGCACGTACCCACGTATTTGCGTGTAAGTGAATATCACGAAGACAGCTGAAATTGGAAATCGGCTCTCGGATTAAGAATTCCGAAACTTTATCCATTGCACTCCCCACACATCTAACCTTTTATTCTCAATTAGTCACCCATCTAGACAATGACAAGGCTTGACGTTGATAAAAAATTCGGTGGTCGTACGGGAACCAGTGTTTCAAACGTAAGCCAAAAGTTAAAAAAATGGATAGTGTTAGTAAAGGAAAGCAAGAAGAAAGGACTAACTATTAACTCTGAGAAGACAAAATTACTGGTTGTCAGGAAAAGGGGTCGTCTAAGGTGCGAGAAAGGTAAAGAAATTTATCTGTAATCAGTGACAGAAATTCGAATGACATCGGAATAGTGAAAGTTACCTTCGAGAAATTAAGCAAAATATTGATAGGGTAGATATCCGTAGAGACAAAGAGCACTTCTTTGTTGTGGACATCAAACGTCCGATGACAATGAATAATAGAAACTATTGCTTCCTGGGTGAAGAGGTCTAAGTAAAGCATGGAAAGAACATGTGATCAACGAGAAACTATTAAGGAAAATGGAAAACTACAACGTAACTTATACCTACAATCCGAACGAGACAAATGAATTTTCTGACACGTAATGAGAAAAGAGGGCGTTGAAAATTTAACACTCACACAACATATTGAAGACAATAGAAGCAGTAGAAAATACTGAGTAAACTACTTAACGAGTTAGTAAGAATGAATGGTGGACTAATGGATAGAGCTGAGTTCGAATTCCAGGTCGAGTTCGTTACATTCATTTACGTGTTAACACATTCAGAAAGGTATGAATTCATCTCTTCTCACCCAGGTATAGATAAATAGCACGTCAGGTCCTATACCCATGGATGCCAACCGGTCTAGGAGAAGAAAAATCTCTGAATTCACAATCTGAAAGCCTGGTTTACGGACTTAGGCCGACCCACGCCAGATTCCGTCGGTTACGAGTTTGGAAAGGAGATGGACGCGGCCAAGCTATCTGAAAGCCCACTGAAAGTAACCTGAGAAATTTGATTTGATTTTTTACGTCTTGTCAACCTTCTTGCAGGTTATTTAAAACCAGAAAATATTTTAAAAATAACTGCTTTCTCAGATCGATTATTAAAAATGACTTCTAGCGAATGAAACACGAGGGCCATCCTTTTTCCTACCTCGTTCCAGAATCACAAACAAAACATTGTTCCAAACTATATCACTTGAGGACTTTAAGCAGCAGTAACAACTAAAATGGATAAAATGGATTTACAACATGTAAATCAAATGACATAGTAAAAATATTGACATTCCACATTAACTCAAACAAAAGTTTAGGAAAAAAACCTCCATCAATACTAGAAAGAGCGATAACAGTTACTGGAAAGAGTAATAACAGTTACTGAATATGCGAAGCCTATTCTTGAATCGATATTAGCACTAGCTGTTTGATCAATGAATGACGAATGTTTCCTTATAATAAAACAGTTAATATTACTATTAATATTTTCATAAATTTAGTATTTAAATATATCGACAAAGGTTATCGTAATCTGACACAAAGTGGGGAATTTTTTGAGAATCGAAATCACTAGAGTAATAAGGGTCTATAAGACGAAACTTATAAAATAAGCCACAAGTTTTAAACATATAAAGAAAACAACGAAGGACCAAATAATAAATTACTATCTAGTGGTTTAAAGCGCTGGCTGGTGTATTTGGTTATATAGTACTTGTAAGTTCAATCCCTAGGTCGGGTAGTGCAAAGTTAAACTCAGAAAAAAGTAAATTAATAACTGAGCAGTTGTAGAAGTAAACCAAGACGTGATATCGCGAGACTTAAACAGCGGGACGAGAACAATCAAAAGCCCAACGATTTCTTCTTGCTTCCTTTCCGAAAGATGGCACAGCTGATCACATCCTCGAAACGCAGCTGATACTCGACATTTTCTATGGCTCTTTTTCTTTTTTTTTTTACAGAAATAAAAAAAAATCAGATCATCAACATGATTGTCCAGCGGGAAAATCATAATTTTAAAAGAAAAAGTTAACTCGAATATTTTTTTTACCTTAAAAGTCTGTTACGAGTAATTTTCAATTCATAACATGAATAGAAACAAACATT